AAACTTTGTTTAAAGGTATCAGTCGACTCAATAAGCAGGTATATGACTGTCTGCCTGGCCTACCTGGGTACACCTGGTACTGCGCATACAGTTAAGTCGAAAAAAAATTTGCCCAAAAAAAGTGTTTGATTCAAATAATAATAATGACTATCCGTTAGCTAAGTTTATAAACAATTAAGAAAAAAAATGGCAGACACTTCTGAAGGGGTTTACATAGGGGCAGACGACCACAAAGTTGTATTTTCAAAAATTCCAAAAAAAGTGTTTGATTCAGTCTGCCATTTTTACAGCGTGTTTATTATGTATAATAAAATATTCTCACAAAAAGGCAGACAGTTTCTTCGGGGGTTACTAATTTAAAAATCTATACAAATAAATAAAATTTAAATGTCTGTTTTTAATTTCAAAATAACAATTTTTTACTAAACGCATAAGACATTATATACGATATTTATAACAAAAACACAATTTTTAAAATTTTTGTCTGTCTGTTTGTTCCGACTAATCTCCGAAATGGCTGGACCGATTTTGACGGGACTTTCACTGGCAGATAATTGATGTTATAACGAGTATTTTAGGCTGCTTTTAAATTTAAAAAAAATTATTAGGGTACCGCGCAAAAAAAATAAAACCCTAAATTACATGCGGGCGAAGTCGCGGGGAACAGCTTTTTATTTTATCAGCAGCTATTTAAATAATCTTAAAAAAGTATAATTATTTTCATGTTTGTCAATTGGAATCGGATTCTGCTGTCAATGTACTTATCAAATCATGTGATACAGATGTATTAATTATTATGATAGGAAATATGGACCATTTAAAAAGTGATTATTTATTTGTATAGATTTTTAAATTAGTAACCCCCGGAGAAACTGTCTGCCTTTTTGTGAGAATATTTTATTATACATAATAAACACGCTGTAAAAATGGCAGACTGAATCAAACACTTTTTTTGGAATTTTTGAAAATACAACTTTGTGGTCGTCTGCCCCTATGTAAACCCCTTCAGAAGTGTCTGCCATTTTTTTTCTTAATTGTTTATAAACTTAGCTAACGGATAGTCATTATTATTATTTGAATCAAACACTTTTTTTTGGGCAAATTTTTTTTCGACTTAACTGTATGCGCAGTACCAGGTGTACCCAGGTAGGCCAGCAGACAGTCATATACCTGCTTATTGAGTCGACTGATACCTTTAAACAAAGTTTCATGATGCATCAAACACTTCATGAAAAATGCGTCATGAGCTCTCGGACCATATAGTTGTAGCGCGAATGGGTCGGCTCGACCGGGGAAGGACCACGCTCTCGCAGAAAACCAGCGTATAATAGCAGCTTAACGCTGCTGTGTTTCGTATGGTGAGTGTAGAGAGACGGAGACCCATTTTACTAGAAACGAGGCATTCCATCTTAGTCCTCACGGGTGACGACGCATCTGCATTTTAATTCTTTATTGAGGATAAATGTGGATGTCTATGGGCCACAGCAACCACTTACCATCAGGTGGACTGTGTGCACGTTTGTCACCCTTATCCTATAAAATAAATAAAATTCAATACAGATTACAAGAGTACTTATTGAAAAAGCCACGCAAGCAAGAAACCCAGCGAATCTTTTTTTAAATAAATTAATTTTAAATATATTATATTAATTTATACAATTAGTATGAAAACATTTAGAAACATCATGTTAGCGATCACCTCAGTCCCAGGGGTTATTATCAATCACTCTTTTTAGTAGCATAAAGCACTATTTGCTTAGTATTAATTTTAAACTTTTTTATAGATGAGGCCTGCATATTTTCTGGGACATTGTTGTAAAAGCGTATAGGTACATTGCCCCATGGAGTCGAGTAACTCCAAAGTCATGTGCTCGTACAGAATAAATAAATTACCTACTGAGAACAAGAATAAGCGCAACATATTGGACTATGGCCAAAAATATATCTATGTTATTCAATATAGATTATTGCATAGTACTTATTGAAAGTCATTTTTACCCCTCCTACATCCGTCCGCGATACCATATGTCTATTTCTTATACATAAGCCATAATTTGGTATTTTGTGACAAAAAAATATTGAAAATTTAAAAGTGATATATGAGCGTTATTATTAGGCATGGCCTATTTATCCTTACGAACGAAAGTTACTTCATCGTCAAGACAATTTTATGAAGATAAACTTTGTTCTTTATACCATGTTATTTGGACGCATAGTTTAAGAGATAATGTAAAATTAAAATAATTCAATACTTGTCGGGGCGCGCGAACGACGCTTAAACGCTAGCCGTTATAAAATGCTTGAACTAGGTCATGTCGCGCATCTCGGACACGTGATGACGCGGGTGAAACCGCGGGGCACAGCTAGTTAATTATAAATGTAAAAAGATGTGAATAGTTACTCTACGTTTTCTTCTTCGTCTACCTTATCATATTGTAAAGTTAAATTTTACATATTGTTACGCGCCACTATTAATGACTTGTACATGGCAACACTAGTTACCACTAACGCCCTCTAGTGTCGAGTATCAGAACTAGGAGAGTCAAGATCACCCTAGAAATTTCGGGGCCGATATGTACTCGAACATTCTAGATGTCGCTATAGTAGAAGGTCTTAGAAACTATCTGAGGCCCTATATAAGACCGGTATAGACCACGACCGAGTCAGTATTGAATTGGCGATATAAGCGAATAATTCGAAGCGAAATAACTGCGAACTAAAGTGATCATTAGTACAATTGTGTTTTATTATTAGTGTGGTTTAAAATTGTAATTAGTGTTCTGTAATTAAAGTGTCAATTTTGGTAATTCACTCGGCAGTTTTAGTTGCCTCAAACCCCAAGCTCGTAACAATGTTATGAGCAAACTCAAATTCAGTACAGTACTCTCCATCTTCTTCTCAACTCATCTTAATTCGTAATATAGACGATAATAAAGGTATATTCATACGATTACGAAGCTTAGTTTAATAACGGTAACTCTTGAGAACATCCGCTCGACTGTAGCAGTACTCACTGGCTGTATGCTGTCAGCGCTAGTGATGCTAAATTTTTCTAAAATCAACCTGGCAACCCCGCTGCGGCCACGCAGCCCGTCCCTACTAGATTATTCCCGAGTGAATCTGTAACGTTTCATCCGTAACGATATTATAAGCGGATATAGGCATAACGTTACTGATACCTATAACGTAACGAAAAATAATGTTCTACGAAAATGATATCCTTTAACGTTATTGATAATTTTAGGTTTTAGGATCGTTACAAAATTTGGAAATTGTACAACCAGTGCGTGTTGCCAGTGATGACTTACGGATCTGAGACGTGGTCCTTCACTGCTGGCCGTATGAGGAAGCTCAAGGTCGCTCAGCGAGCTATGGAGAGGGCTATGCTCGGGGTTTCTCTGCGTGATGAACTTAGAAATTAGTGTATCCCCAGTAGAACCAGAGTAACCGACATAGCCCAACGGAATAGTAAGCTGAAGTGGCAGTGGGCCGGCCATATAGCTCGAAGACCCGAAAAGCGATAGGGAAGAAAGGTTCTTGAGTGGCAGCCTCGTACCGGTAGGCGAAGTGTAGGGCGACCCCCCACGAGATGGAGTGACGACCTGGTAAGTCATGCAGTAAGTCGATGGATGCAGGTGGCTCATGACCGTGCTTGTGGCATTCGTTGGGGGAGGCCTATGTTCAGCAGTGGCCTTATGAAAGGCTGTAATGATGATAATGACAAAATTTGGAACGTTATGAGCTAACATTTAGTGTAACGAAACGAAATTCATTTCGTTTTCAAGTCCTTGCAAAACGACAAATTAATAAAGACATAATAGAAACAGAAACTTTTTTATTCAATATAGATTATAAATAATACTTATTGAAAGTCACTCTTTTGTTTAATTACCACTGGTTCGAAAAAAAAACCTCTGGCCTGGGAAAAACCAGCAAGAAACCCAGCGGGACTTTTTTTAAAATAACAGCTTACAATCATGTATGTTACACAAATTAACAACACATGAAATAGAAATAACTTGGTAGCGATCACCTCATTTCCAAGGGCTAATCATCCATAAATTCTTTAACAAACTTAGTTTGATAAAGTTTTTGAACTTTGAGCAGGTCAAATTTTGTATATTTTTTGGAATTTTGTTGTAAAAGCGTATACATCGCCCCAAGAATGAATTACTGACTCGATGGAGTCTAGTAACTGGTTCTACTAGCTTGTGTCTGTTCCTAGTATTTACAGAATGAATATCACTTATTTTTGTAAAACTACTTTTATTTTTGTGTACGTACATTACATTATCATAAATGTATTGAGAGGCCAAAGTTAATATATTAATTCCCTTAAATTTTTGTCGCAGCGACTCTTTAGGCTTTAAATCATAAATTGCTTGTATGGCCCTCTTCTGTAAAACAAATATAATTTCAGTGTCAGCTGCGTGTCCCCATAGTAAAATACCATACGACATTATGCTATGGAAACAGCTAAAGTAAACTAGTCTAGCTGTTTCAACACTGGTAAGACTTCTAATCTTTTTTACAGCATATGCTGCAGAACTAAGTCTGCTTGCTAGTTTTGATATATGGGGGCTACATTGAAGCTTCGCGTCTATTGTAATTCCAAGAAAATGGTGGTATCTACAAGACTCAGTTTCTCCCCATTTAAAATTATATTAGTATTTAATTGTTTGACATTTGGCGTCATGAATTTCCTACATTTCGTTTTAGTGCCATTTAAATGCAAATTATTAACATTGAAACGATTTACTAATTTAGATATAGCATTATTTACTTCGTCATATTTTAGTACTAATTGTCGACTTAATTTGAAAATTAAAGAAATGTCATCTGCAAATAATACTATAAGATAATATGGCAACACCAAACTATATTGTCATATTTGTCAATGTCATTTTGCCGTCAATATACTCAATACACAACAAACACATTTACCAGCTGACATTGACAAGTGTAATTTGAACATGAAATGCAAAAACAAATCCTAAAAAATGTCTTTAAGTTATTTCACAGAGAGCGAAGCGCCGCGAGATTTCAAAGTCTCATCAACAGAGAGCGACGGACATTATAAAAAATGTGTTTTGTGCTACACGGTGAAAAAGAACTTCTATTGCGCAGAATGTGTAAGAAATGGAAACTTTGTACATTCTTCGATGCCTTACTCTGATAGGTAATATTATAATTTTATTCGTTATAATTGATGTCTTTCGAAGTTCTTTAAGACACCTGTTACTTTGTAAATTATACACTAATCTAATGTTATATAAACCACATTCTAAAGTCAAAACTTTCACTAATTGCGCAATTTAAAGTACAAGCTTATATTTGCAAATGATAGTGAAAGTAAATAAACTAAATCACTCATTTTTCAGATTTGCTGAAAAACAAGCTAAACTAATGCGCCTTAAAATTAACAGACAGCATGTTTTAGACAGATGTGAAAAGTTATTAGCCCCAAAACTTAAAAAAGATATTCTCCTCACAGAAACAAAGCTGTCAAGAGACAAGCTGGACTTACTAAGGCTGGCAATAGATCAAAGAAGAAGTATTATAGACACAAAGCGAAAGGAACTAGCTGATCTAACAAGTTATAATAATGAATTGAGGCTAAAACTTCCGAGATATCAGAAAAGAGTATCCAGTTTAGGCAGACATGCTGAAAATCAACAAATAGAACTACAAAATAAAATGAGTACTTATAATGACCAAGCACAAGCCCTTGCTGCATTGAGGAGGTCAAGAATACGTCAATTCACCAAGTATATCTTTCCAGTTTATTTGAGTTATGATTCTAGGTAAGTTACTTCATAATTTATTATTTGCACAGTTGTTTTGAGTTCCTAATTAAATATCAACAATAATTACTTCAAATATTTCAGCAAAAGATCCGTAAGAAAATAATAATTGAAATTTTTAAATTAAGCCTCAACTTTTAGATGCTAAGTGTTAGTAGTTTTTGGAGAATACTCCTCTCTTTAGCCTTACCTGCACAGAGATCTGATGACATGTTCATGTAATGAAGATCAGAAAATTAGGAACATTATTAGTGCAATAGGTACCAGCCACGCATTTAGCAAGCTGCCTGGTACATGGCGACGATGGGCCAATCTTCGAATAATGCATCCCATTTGACTTATTTTATAAATTGATACTTAATAATGACTGCATATTTGATAATTTTAAATTGAGGTTTTTCTTTCATAAAGGCATTGTGTTCACACAATGAAGGATGTTACTTAAAGCTTTTTAACCAACTTCAAAAAAAGAAAAGGTTCTCATTTCTATTGTATGTTTTTGAATTGAAAACTTCTTTAGGCACATTCGGCACTTTTGGGAAGGGAAAAGGCACAGAACTTGCTTGACCGTCACACTCAGATACATAAAATTTATATGTATGTATTTATAAATTTGTTTGTATTATATAGATAATAATTGTTATTTTTTATGTAAAACAGTAAAACAGTGACAATTTTAATACTATATTAATCTGTTGATAAAAAATAATTTCTAATAAAAAATACTTCCTAAAAAATATTTCTTAACAACCCAAATATAATGTCTGCAAGTTTGTGAAGCTAAGAAGTTTTTACTTTACTTCTGACATGCAGTCCTACTACGGACAGTTTTTTTGTGTATGTATGTTATGCTATATCTTCACAGATTGTTAACCAATTTTGATGGTTCTTTTTTTATTAAATAGGTTATACTTCAATGGTGGTCCCATATAAACGTAGAGAAAAAATTTCACCCTTAAGGGTAGCAAACGAATAACTTCTTATTTAGCAATTTGAAGTTGGTTTTTACTTTTTGTTAATAGTTATAATTATTTTTTTTTATATAGGATAAGGGTGACAAACGAGCACACAGTCCACCTGATGGTAAGTGGTTGCGGCCCATAGACATCTACATCTATCCTCTATTACAAATCAAAATGTAAATGCGTTGTCACCCGTGAGGACTAAGATGGAATGCCTCATTTCCAGTAAAAAGGGCCTCCGGTCACCTGCACTCGCCAAGCGAAACGCGGAGGTAAACCTCTACTTCACGCTGGTTTTCTGTGAGGTTGTGGTAGCAACCTGATTCGAGCCGGCCCATCCGTGCGACAGCAGAAGCTGCCGCGTAGCTCTACCACTGTTAATTATGTTATAGTATGTCTGTCAACAACGTGGTTCACCTGTTAGTAGATGGATGCTGTGGTCATAGATCATAGGGTCTTTGGTTCCCTACTCTTATCATATGAATGTTGCACTTAGAACCTTGTAACGAATAAAACAAAATCATGCGAGTTGAAATAAAGAACATGTCATACTCTTAAACACCTAAATCTCTTTTAAAGAAATACAAATATTATTATTCTAGGATCACTAAATACTAAGTACTAGACAACTGATTTTCACCTGACCCCAGATTCGGATCCACCATGATCAGCAGATATGCTCACAATAATTATTTATTGTAATATAAAAATTAATTTAGAGATATTTTATGAGATAATGCAGTTCATTTTAAATTAAACTAAAACTGATTTAAATGCAGCATGTCACACTTATTGAGTAGAATTGCTGCACAAAGTAGCTGCCACAGAGCTAATAATATATAGAATAAAATACTTTGATAAACATAATAAGAACATTTCTGTTTTAGTGACATTAGCTTTATTTGGATTGTTAATGATTTTCAGTGATAGTATAGAGGATTTAGAGTTTGTGGGTGAAGATGCAGAAGAAGAGCCTCCACGACGACCGCAACTGCACATTGTTGCACCGTGGATAGATGCTGATGGGGATTGTTCACACATACAAGCTTGGGGTGGGTCTATTTAAATTATAGCTTAATTTATAAAAACTTTTATAAGTACATTCCTAATATATAGTATTTCTGTATGATATATATCTCAATATACGAGGGCTGATCCAAAAGTAATGATAATCGGTTATTTCCAGTACACATAAAAAAACAAAAAAAAATGTTTTTTGCTAGGTTATGTACACTAGATCAGCATAAAAAATCATATAAATAGATAAATACATTCATTTGAATACAAATCATCGAAGAGATAACATCAATATGGAGAAAAACGAAATTAGAGCTTGTCATCAAGTACCTCTGTTTAAAAAAAATGTCTACCAAAAACATACACAGAGACTTGGCGGAAACATTGAGGTAGAGCCCTCAATGTTCCTCCATATTCCACAGTTGCACACTGGGCCAAGGAGTTTAAGCTGGGCAGAACATCCATGAAAGATGAACATCGAGAAGGACGCCCATCCACATTCCCCGTGAAAAAAGTCGAAGATGTCGTATTGCCAGATCAAAAAGTGACCAATCAGGCATATAGCTGAGGTCACAGTGATCTCGTACGGCGGTGTTCAAAGAATCTTTGCGAACGAATTACACATGAAAAAGGTATCTGCGTGTTGGGTACTGAGAATGTTAACCCATGAGCAAAAGAAAAACAAGTCGACATTTCGAGGGTGGATCACGAAAGTTCCAAGCAGATCAGAAAATTTTTTTTGTCACGTTTTGACGAGACCTGGATCCACCATTTTGATTCTGAAACCAAACAACCATCAATGGTTTGGAAACGAGCCTCCTCACCGACGCCGAAGAAATTCAAAGTGTCAAATTCGGCGGGAAAGGTTATAGCGTCCGTTTTTTGGAATGCTGAAGGAATAATTTTGGTGGAATATTTGGAAAAGGGAGTCACTATTTCGGGCTGTTACTCTACGCAGGCCAAATAAGAAGATTGCGAGAGGCTATTAAGGAAAACGTGGCAAACTGCGAGTTTCGCCAAGGCAACGCTCCGGCTAACAAAGCCGCAATTGCGATGGCTGCTATTCAAGAAACGGGATTTGATCAGCTCTAACATCCGCCCCATTTGCCTGTTCTAGCTCCAAGTGACTTCTATCTATGTCTGCGAGGCAAGAAATTTGCTGGCGATAGCGAAGTGATGAACGCTGTTTTGAGGTTTTTTGGAGGGTCAAGGTTAAGATTTTTTTTTCTAAGGGTATTCTGATCTTAGCAAAAAGCTGGATTAAATGCATTGACTTTTTATGAGACTTGTTTAATATTCATTATCATTACTTTTGTATCACCCCTCGTATATTATTTATGAAAAGATTTGTTATAACCGCCACACTTGGCAGGGGAATTGATGACCACAACCCCAAATTTCTAGCACCATTTGATGTAAGATATATGTTATACTGCCATCTATCGGAAGTTATTTAAAATATGCTTTTTTTTAAGATATTTTCAATATGCTTTTTTTTTAATATTTCACCTTTACTTACTCTTAAATTAAAACTAATTACAGTTTTCTTACTGAAAAATCATAACTTAAGCTATTAGCAAAAAGGATAATAAAAAGAAATGCATGTGTGTGTGTGTGTGTGTGTGCAGCGTGCGCCCGCGCGCGCGCGTTTGTGTGTGTGTGTGTGTGTGTGTGTGTGAAAACGTGCGTGTGCGCGTAGATGTATACACGTGTGTGAAAAATGCTTTAATATTTTATAATTAACGTGCTACATACGTTTTTTGATAACGACTTGTTAAAAAGTATGTGTGGTCTAATTAAAGGAATCTATATTGAATTTATTATTGTTATTATGTAGTATCTTAGACAGAATTTAGTTTGACGAGTAATGGGTACGAGACAAGGGCAAATCGAAATGTTGTAATATTTTGCCAAGTTGTCTAATGCTAGGTTTCTGAGGTACTTTTATCGGCAGTTTATCTATTCGTTAGCGCTATTGGTTCGATAACTTGTGAAAGTGCGTTTCCGAACATCGCAATGTAAGATAAACTCCGTTTAAGCTAAGTTTAATTTAACTGGCCAATATGTGCCGTTTATCGATTCTATAAGTTTATTTGACGTTTAATTTCAAGCAAACTACATCAACTTTTAGATTATAACGTGTTATTATTAAAATAAAGTGCCAGTATTCAAGGGATAAAATAATTATTAATAGAAGTGCAATGAATACGAGTACTCTTCTCTCTTTCAGAAAAAATTTTTTACGTTTTCCAGATTCCATAAGGTTATGGATAATGCAAAAACGATAGTAAATACCACTAAACTTAAAATCAGAAAGTTATGAAAAATAAAACCACTTTCGAATAAAAGCAATGAGTTTGATGTTTTCTTTTTTAACAATTTGACAATACAATGATGTCATTCATACAGTTTCTGATAAATATGGAATTATTATATTTTATAAATAATACTAGTATAAATGAAGAATTGAAATTAAAAAATCAATTTTAGACTCTATGTCTTAAACAGACCCATCTAGCGGCAAATTATGGTACTTGTTAATGGTTTCATAGTTGTTGAACGATTCGTTGCATATTTAGAAACGCAGTGACAGTTAACCGACGTTTATCCTATAGATAACTTTATCGAATCAATAGCTAATGGGAAGATAACTAGGAACTTCAGAAACCGGGCATAAGTCATATTTAAGCAGTATGCAATTTTCAAGTTTTCTAATATTACAGTTAACTTTTTCATCGTCAGCAAACATTAGAAATTTGGAATGCTTAAGGTATGAGTGGATATCAAATAAGCGTTGTAGAAAAGAGAGCCTAGGTAAGAACCTTGCGGCACTCTGAATTTTATAGTTATAAAATCTGATTAGCACACGCCTGTAATTGTTGTTTATATTCTATTAGTTAAATATGATTTTAGCCAGCGTTGTAAATCTTTGTGGATACCTTATGACTTTAATTTGTGTAACAGGATAATGTCACCCACTTTGCCAAAGGCCTTTTCGAAATCAGTGTAGATCATGTCAGCCTGTGTACCTACTATCCATGCTTAGTTAAAACGATTGCTCATGAATTAATGTTGTATATTTGAAATTGCTCGAGCCACAATTGGTTATACATTAATGTATAGAGTGTATGGTTTGTAAGGCCACACACTTTCAAGAAGTAGATTTGTAGTTAGTTAATGAGCACGTGAAAAGAAAAAGAACACTAAAGTTAAAAGTTTAATAAAAGTAAAATAGTTATAAAGTTAGAGTGGCAAATCTTTCCTTGAGTAGTTGGTGTTTAGAAGACGGTTGTTGACGTACTGCCGATTGTGAGATTACAATTAATTAAGTAAATTTAAATACACGCGACGCGAGGCAAAAAGTAGGTTGCCGCATTTACTAAATAAAAATGTGTGATGTAACCATACATAGAGTTTTGTAATAATTTTTCTAAGATATAAATCAGAAGATAATGGTATATTTTAGTTTTATTTATATGGATAATTTACTTATGATTATTATAAATGATGTTAATAG